AAGGGTGTTTCTGATGAAGGGCTTGATTTAAACGTTCCAGTCACTTACTATAGATCTCTGCATTGACAGTTCACTGTGGATTGAGGGGTTCAAAATTAATTATTCCTTTGATGTCCCACCAAATGCAAAGCATCACTTTGTGCAGATCGGGTCCAGGTTTTGGGGTCGGAAGTGGTTTTTGTCTAGGACTGAGCCATTGGTTTTGCCGTTTAATATTCGCATAGAGAATCCATTTTTCATCGTTTTTTTGTGAGATGGGTAATGAAAGTGTTCCAAAACGTGACATTAATTTCTTGACGACCTAATACAAGTTATAGTTATGTTTATATAAAAGGGTTTTAATCCTCACCTGAAGTGCTGCTCTTGTAGCAGTTTCAAAAACTTCCCTCACCCCATCTTTGGTTTTAGCAGAACATTCAAGATACCCATAAGCATTGATTTTTTCTGCCATTGTTCGACCTTCTTCGGGAGAGACTGGTTTTTGCTTCATTTTAGCCAATTCTTTTATGGTGTGGGGGTCATTTCTTAAATCCTACAAAACAAATAAGATACATTAACAGAAAGAACATAAGATAATACATTCTAGAGTTTAACTCCTTTTGATTTATATTTTCACCCATGCAAGAGACAGTTATTTCACTCTAGTTCAGAATTATTTCTGTACAAACATTTCTATACCAAACTGAACTATTAAAAAATAACTGTTTAGGGTACATACTTATCAAAGTCTAATACTAGCCGAGTACTTACAAACTACCTAATACTAGACAGAAATAAAAATCTTAATTTTTTTTCAGGCATATGTAACATTGTTCTCAATTCAACATTTCTGTTGCCAGGTGGCAGTAAATTCAAATTTTCTAACTATTTAAATAATAATAGCAAATACACTTAACAATGAAAAAAAAAACATTAGAACTTGAACATCTTTGCATTAGCATTCCAACTTTTCTTTTAAATGTCCATTTAACTTGTTACCACCTTTCTGAAGTTTCTATGCATTGAAAGGTACCTTGTATCTTTAGGTCTGTAAACAATTCTACCATTTCCTATTGCTAAGCCTATTTTGAAAGGTACCTTGTATCTTTAGGTCTGTAAACAATTCTACCATTTCCTATTGCTAAGCCTATTTTGAAAGGTACCTTGTATCTTTAGGCCTGTAAACAATTCTACCATTTCCTATTGGTAAGCCTATTTTGAAAGATACCTTGTATCTTTAGGCCTGTAAACAATTCTACCATTTCCTATTAGTAAGCCTATTTTGAAAGGTACCTTGTATCTTTAGGCCTGTAAACAATTCTACCATTTCCTATTGGTAAGCCTATTTTGAAAGGTACCTTGTATCTATAGGTCTGTAAACAATTCTACCATTTCCTATTGCTAAGCCTATTTTTTCAACTTACAGTTGTAAAATTAAGAACCAGTAATACAATAATTTTATTGTTTGTCATGTTATATTCTACTCTCTGTGACTGTTATCACTCTGAACTGCAAAAGAATACAACCTGTCCCTGATGTGTTGGAAGCTATAGCCAAAAAAAAGTACACTTTAGCCCTTATTTGACAACTTGTACCATTTATTTTGGTTTTTCACTTACAGTAACCACTAAAAGACAAAACAAGACTAAAGTGAAGGTATATATGTGTCAAAACTAGTTTTTTTTATTTATCAGGACTTCTGACAATTTGCACCATTTTGTTTTTTCGAGCTATAAATATAAGTAGTGTTAAAGTTCTAGTTTCAATTATATGGTAGTTTATATTTCTAAAGAATGCACGATTTTATTCAAAGCTGCACAAACATAACAAATGTTACACTATCAACATCAAATGACAAGTTTTTCCAATATTGTGAAATGTAATTTCATGCAATTATAAATTAGTTACATTTATTTGTTTCAAATTATGGAGTTATTAAACACATTACAATGTACCATTACATAAATACATGTTGTGTTTATGTTAAACATGTTATAATGTACCATACCAAAGTACACGTTGTGTTTATGTTAAACATATCACAATGTACCATACCAAAGTACACGTTGTGTTTATGTTAAACATATTATAATATACCATACCAAAGTACACGTTGTGTTTATGTTAAATATGTTATAATGTACCATACCAAAGTACACGTTGTGTTTAAGTTAAACATATCACAATGTACCACACCAAAGTACACGTTGTGTTTATGTTAAATATGTTATAATGTACCATACCAAAGTACACATTGTGTTTATGTTAAACATATCACAATGTACCATACCAAAGTGCACGTTGTGTTTATGTTAAACATGTTATAATGTACCATACCAAAGTACACGTTGTGTTTATGTTAAACACGTTATAATGTACCACACCAAAGTACACGTTGTGTGATTTTTAATAACTAGTTTTGTCATTAATATTGTTACATTTTACTTCTTTAACAACTAAATTTCAAAGATTTATTACGTCCTGTTTCAAATTTTTTAACAGTCATTCATACTGTAGGTGAACAATTAAACATGACCACCAATACAACAGTACTCCCTCTTGCTAACAGATATCAAGTTGAAGTAATAAATGTTTAGTAATTAGTTTAACTGTCAGTTTTCACTGGTAAGTGGATACAAAGTACACAGATTTTCCACGGTTGTGTTGTGTTTAGTAATTAGTTTAACTCTCAGTTTTCACAGGTAAGTGGATACAAAGTACACAGATTTTCTATGGTTGCATTGTGTTTAGTAATTAGTTTAACTGTCAGTTTTCACAGGTAAGTGGATATAAAGTACACAGATTTTCTGTGTGAATAGACATTTACAGAAATAGTTTTACATGTCTAAGTAGAATTCAATTCGATACATTATAAGTTTCAGTATCTCTTCATCCTGACTTATTAAGATAAATAAAAGTTTACCTTTTTGTTCCCTACTAAAATGATAGGTACATTTGGACAGAAGTGCCGAACTTCTGGTGTCCATTTTTCAGGGATATTTTCCAAGCTGTCAGGACTATCAATACTAAAACACATCAGAATAACATCAGTATCAGGATAAGACAGTGGGCGGAGACGGTCATAATCTTCCTGTCCAGCAGTATCCCATAATGCTAGTTCAACCTGACAACGAGACAAGCAAAAAACCTTAACTTCATTTAAGTAATGTTAGTTCAACCTGACAACGAGACAAGCAAAAATCATAACTTCATTTAAGTAATGTTAGTTCAACCTGACAACGAGACAAGCAAAAACCATAACTTCATTTAAGTAATGCTAGTTCAACCTGACAACGAGACAAGCAAAAACCTTAACTTCATTTAAGTAATGCTAGTTCAACCTGACAATGAGACAAGCAAAAACCTTAACTTCATTTAAGTAGCTCAGATACTAAACATATTAAAAATTTCAGTTATATGTATGGTTTTATTGTGTACGCTGGAGGGATTTAGATATTTCGACAATAGTTATAAAACAATTCTCTCTCCTTTCCAGATAATTTTTTGTACTAGCCCTGATGAAGACACAATGGCAAAACATACGTTGAAACAACAATGGGTAACAGAGCAGCAGTCACTTTTACTATAATATTAGAAACCAAAGCGCTTGACACATATAAACAAAAAACAGGTTTAATACCAGATGTGTGTGGTACAGATACATCGATGACATATTTGGAATCAGCAGTTTTACTATTTCCTAAACAGCTTCCATCCCTCAGTCATGTTCACAATAAAACTACCCAACGCAGAAGGATACTTAACATTCTTAGATGTGACCCTAAAAATCCAAGAAGGACAAATATGGAGCTCCAAGCATAACAAAGAATGCAAGAAACCGATATTTCTCCATTACAAATCACACCACCCAGAAGGAGTTAGAAGGGGGTACCATAATAAGAGAATTAGAGAGAATAAATCAAAACTGCTCCACACTGAATGCCATTCAAACAGCACAAAAGGACTTTAAAGCACTATTATTATGAAACGGATACCCTGAATACTACATGTACAGTGTTTTCAAATCACAAAAAAACAGCAACACACCCAAAACCAAAAATTACTTACACAAAAATGCCAACAATGAACATTCCTTTCATAAACGATACAATCAAAAACAAGATTCGTAAAGTCATAAATCAATCCCAACTGACAATCAACGTAACATAAAACCAAATAAAACACTAAAAGAAATATTTGTACACTCTTCATTCTAACAAACAAACAATGCTACACCAGAGAATACGTCATCTACCAAATCATCTGTAATATATGTGGAGACACACACATATATATAGGAGAAACCTTTCCACAACGCATCTCAGAACACATCAGTGCATTATATACACATGACCAACACAAAACTGCTCCAGCACAAACAAACAGAACCCATTTAATGTCTGTATTTTACCAAATCATCTGTAATATATGTGGAGACACACATATATATAGGAGAAACCTTTCCACAACGCATCTCAGAACACATCAGTGCGTTATATACACATGACCAACACAAAACTGCTCCAGCACAGACAAACAGAACCCATTTAATGTTTGTATTTTACAAAAAAAACAAAGATTTTAAAGAGATAAAATATATGGAAGCTATACTCATTAACGAGAAAAATCCAAAAATGAACATGTAACCAAAACATCATTCATAGAACAACAAATTGTATCAATACATTTTACACTTATTTCCAGTTTAAGACTTGCTTACTCTGGAGTACGACACAGTCTTACAATTAGTTTTTAATACTGCTAGTAAATTTCGAAGCCTTTCCACTTACTATTGTTTCTTAGCTACTTCTATTTTCTGTCTGTGTGTTTTCAGTTAATCATAAAACATATTTTGGTTGTTTTTATTTTTATATTTTATTTTAGTAATATATATCATAGCTACATAATATAAGTATACTATATTAGAACAATAATGAAACAACAATGATATTTTATACATTCTTGGAGACACATGTGACAGACTAGAAAGATAGAACATCACAATCAATTTTATAAATTAACATATACTTCAATATCAAACAGTTTGTATGTATTGACCCTGAAATTGAAATGTTGTTAGTAATAAAAAAACAAATATATATATACCTCTGGAGTGTAAAGGTCGTTTATCTAAACTTTTATCACAATGTGTAAATCCCTCCAGTATGCACTACAAACTTTGATAGAAAACAAAACAAAAAGATTCAGTTGTCTGAAGAATAAATGTAATTTGTTGTTATAGGTAGTGTTTTTAAAAGAATACACAAGTTGTGTTAATGCTACATCTTCTTCAAGTCATATTTTAACACTGTGGTTAGTAAATGACAACTAGTATACACTACATGAAGCCTATTTCTTGTTCTTTAGATTTCTACTTCTCCAGGGTTACTGACAAGGAATGGAACTTCACAAAAACAAGCATAGCTGAGTGACAAGTGGGGGAAACAAATGACGGACTGTACTTAGTATTTATTTGTAGAATATTAATTAATTCAGCTGTAGTTGGAAGTGAATTCTTCACTACTACTCTATAATGTTTTTAACTTGTTTAAAAATTATTGTAACACTTAACATAAGTACTAATATTAAATAAAAAAATCTTTAAAAACCATAAACTGGACATTTTGACACCAGTCATTATATTACTGCCTTCTTCAATGAAATACATAAGTTATAAAGCAGCCCGAGGGATTATATTTAATTAACAGGCGATTTACAAATGAATCTGTAGAAAATTATGGTTCATCCCAGTATCTGAGGCAATGATATGTCACGCTTATTAAACAAGAGCACAATTTAGTTTTTTTTTTTGCTACAATACCAATTTCTCACCAATCTGTTACACAGATTTCAGTTGTGCCAAAATTGTAGTAAGCACAACTTGAAACAGCTGCTCTGAAATTTTTGCATTTTGCAACTTAACCTTTCACACCCAGGAAAGTTTCAATAAACGACTTAAAGTCAGTATGTAACCCTAATGGATAACCATCAATACCAAAATTAATTAAGTGCAAATATCTGTATATTCTATTACCAGTCGTTAATTGTTCAAAGTGCTACTGATCTTATTACCAGTCGTTAATTCTTCAAAGTGCTACTGATCTTATTACCAGTCGTTAATTCTTCAAAGTGCTACTGATCTTATTACCAGTCGTTAATTGTTCAAAGTGCTACTGATCTTCCTATAAATTTTTTCACTGACACAAACACGTCAAAAGCTGTCTTTTCATCACCTTCCCCACCTGAGCTCTGGTTAATTTTTGGAAGTAATACATTCAATGAATCAGCATAACAATTAAAAGTACATTTTTATACATTTCTGACTTATTAACAACAACAAATTTACACATCTAAAACTCTCATTCAGAATGACACAGTTACATTTCATTGTTAACTAAGTCACCTAGACCTAAAAATAAAAAATGGGTAAATACACAAAACTGTGTAAAGTAATTTACAATAAAATTTATATTCACGCTAATGAAACAAGATTTATATGGAACCTAGTTTCGACATTTCACACGTCCTCTTCAGTCCAACTTCACTGGAGGTTACTCACACATTTTTGTATAAGTTAACTTTACCATATGTAATTTCATTTGCAAACATAGCCAATATTAAAATTAGAAAAACAAATAAAAATTTTTTGGCACAGTGAAAGGTAAACTCTTTATTTGCTGTTTCAGTTGACAAGTCATCAGGGTTAGTGACTACACTCCAACTGTTAATGGACACACTAGTTTATAAAACAAGATCAGGAGACATGGGTAAGAAAATAGGAAATAGAGGAATAGTTACACAATGTTTTCCAACAGGACAGATCTGTGTGTATAAATAGAAATGATAGTTCAATCAGTTTGTCCTATTGGAAAAACTGTTTTTCCTAAGTACCCCCTTAGTTACTATTTACCAACTCACCTCCCCTTCTGTACTGACTTACCCTTTTAATAGTTCGAGTTGAACATAGATTAACCTATTCGCAACGGGTACCCCCCTTTAAACCCTTTTTCGTGCAAGTCACTGTTACACTAGAAATTTAATTAAACACCTTTAATATCAATGTATGTGAATAAAATTAATGTAATTTATGATTTGAAGTTATGTTATTTAAGTTTTAATTCCTTTACTTAAAAAAAAACTACTTAAACTTCAGATGTATTGTCACGTGATCAACGAGCTATTAAAATTCTCTACTTTGGCTCTCTGTATCTTCAGTAATACAATAGTAGTTGAGTAGAGGTACGTAGACATGCTTACGTAACCTTATGACTCATTTAATTCAAAGTTCTCTGAAAGAATACAGTTGAAACAAGTATTAAATTTTTTAAACCCCTGACAAGTGCCACACCCAACTTCAACAGATTTGCTTCAGCTTTATAGCCTACATGTAGATGTTACATACACATGTATATAGTCATTAGAAAAAGATAATTTTACATTATAATCTAACAACAGTTATTTTGAAATTGGTGTGCAGATTACATGAAATTAACTAGAGTATTGTTGGCTGCCTGATCGACTATAGCACTTACAGTTGTTTATCTAAATATGTTATAGCTAGAGATACAGTTTAAATTGTATTTAGGTCTTACTATTATATTTTAATTAATTATGTATTAGTTGTTTTAAAATGTTTTAGCATTTTAAAAATATACATCATATTTTGTCTGTTCACAAGGCTTACGATATTTTACGCTGAATGAAAATTTTGCCGAAAGGTTACGCGTGTCTCCCCAAAAAAAAACTGTAATATGCCTCCGGGGCATCGTTGACTAGCGTTGGGATGAATAATAAGTGGTAAACGAAAAGAACGGAAAATAAAACATTAAAAATTAACTATAGGTGAAAAGGAAAAGACCCAAAATTATGAATATAAGTAAAACAACATGTATAAAGATACTCTACAAAAATTTAAAAGTTATGTATTTTTTTTTCTATTTCCTAATTTTAGTTATTTCATTGCACTGTACATTGATGATAATAACTAGAGTTAGTGATATCCATTTAGAAGGTTTTAGAGATTATGCAACTGAAAGATATAAAATTAAAACCACATTTCACTCGACCTATTTCAACAGTCAGTG